ACTTTCCCACACACTACGAATCTGGACCATGTACGACGAATCTGTATCGAGCATCAGTCACGAAGATGGAGAAGATGATGGACGGAAGTTCCTAATCGTGATCATTTCCATCGGGACTTTCAAGATATCTTTGGTTTGGTTTATTGGCCAGCAGGTGAGTCAGTGTGGAATTGGACGACGGGAATGATGAGTAGTCAAAACATGAGGTAATGCACGATGAGAGGAATTTGAGAACTTCATTTTGGTTGATTCCTGAAGCTTGTGCATGAAGAGACTGAAGTGTGAATGCGAACTAAAACACTTTGGGCACCTTGACTGAACTTCTTGGGGAAAAAGTCAGATAACTGGTTAAGTATATCAAGAACCCAGTCATTTAACTCCTGGCGTTGACCGAAACTGGTCTTTAAAGCAGGTCAATGATTATTAGGGAATGAATCAAGCACAGTACAAACGTTTTTTCTATCAAACATCGGCGACCCAATAAAAAAACAAAGGGAACGAAAGGACTGATCAATCAATGAATCACTTTCCAGTAACCATGCTACGGCACATCATTTAACAATAGAAGTCGTGGAGAAACTCAAAATGACTTCCACCCAAAGGTAGTTGACAAGCCAGCAATTCGAAAGAGGCGAAGCGACCAACTCTGGTGAAACGCGACCATCAACACTGAAGTGCCTAGATTGCAACGTTACGAGCATGACGGGAGACTTTCCAGTCAAAACGTCCCGGTTCCCGCGAAAACTATTCCGTATGTCAAAGATGCAATCATCTTCGTTGTACACGGTGGAATGAATCAATACGGCAGGTCCTTTACCCTTGGTAACAAGTTTCTCGAGCGAGTTTCTCCAGCTCTTCCACATTTTCACTTTTTCCCGCTTTCCACCTCGTTTTTCTCCCTGTTTCGCGGTACTTTTTGCAAGATTATTCGTGGAGGTCCCTCGTTCAATGACTTCACCTGTTTCGTCCCAGTGGAAATAAATATTGGAAAGGTAGAGGAGGCGTTACCTTAATTCTCAAGGTAGACAGATAGCTGGACCTTCACGGTGAAGTCATATTCCAGTAATACTATGCTTTGTAAAATGGTTTATCACATCCCATGTACTCGGTATTCAAAGTTTTGAGAACCCCACACCAGCTAGCTTGTTTGAAACTTATTGCAAGATTGTGGAATGCAGGTAGCTCGCTTGCTCCGCTCGGTTGTTGGCCTGTTAGCCGAGTTTGGCAAGAATTAAGAACCTGCTAAGCCCCTCTCCTCAGTTGGTGCCATATTCTTCCAGAATGAACGAAAACGGTTGTTTGCGCCGAAACTGTTTTTGTTTCGAAGATTCAACTGAGAGTGCTCTTGATTTGACCTGAGTTGCTGCGCGCACGCAATCCACTTGTGTCATAAAAACAGCTTCTTACTAGTTTAAAGAGAATTCTGGTCAGAGTTTTGTGGGAAACGCGACTCGTTCCATACGGAACACCTGCATTCAACTTTTAATGCTAGATTAGCAAGGACAGGTCACCTGGAAGGAAAATACAATTGAGTAGTGTCTTGCGAAAGACGTGTCCCCACGTCTCGAAAAGTCCAATACGCGGAACCGTTGGGTGTTTTATGTGGATAACCCAGGAGTTATTCGGAACTAAACCGTATCTGGGAAGCCGTGACCGCTCCAGCGGGGAGTCGGAAGTTGGCGTGCACTGCCCAGAAAAATCTGCCAAGACGAGTTGCTTGATGCCCACCTTCCTTTCAGAAGTGTACATGGAAGTGTAGTCAGTTTGATAAAGGAAACTACTCACAAGGTTGCTGAAAACTCTTCGACAGCCCACGACCGGTTTCACCCTTCTTTGGGGCTCATCAGGTAGGCGCCCAGTCCCCGAGTTTCCGTCAACCTTATGTTCTTCTTGAACCCAACTGAAACACGAGGCAGTCTGTGTGCAGCACATTCAGTTGTCGCTCGTGAAAATGAATTGATTTGCAAATTATTGTATTTCTCGAAAACAGTCTAGTTTGGGTTCAAGTGGAACATAAGGTTGACAGAAACTCGGGGACTGCGCGCCTACCTGATGAGCCCCAAGAAGGGCGATACCGGTCGTGGGCTGTCGACGAATTTTCAGCAAACTTGTGAGTAGTTTCCTTCATGAAAATATACTGCGATATCTCGAATATCGTGCCAACTGAAACATGAGGCGGCCTGTGTGCAGCACTCTCAGTTGTAGAATATCATAGATGAAGGTAACAGTTCAGTCTCTCGTGAAAACCAAATTGAATAACAGACAAGTGTATTTCTCGAATATAGTCAGTTTGATTCATGTAAGGAGTTTAAGTAAACATGCATGTTGCCCTGCTGGAATCAAACGGAGGGGGGGGAAAGGCAGAAGTGGATTCAAACCTGCCGCTTAATTGGCCACAATCCGTGTGACCCAGGTCTCTTTAAATATCACTTATCCACGGTCGTCCTACCCAGGACATGTTCATTCTGTGCTCAGTCCTTTGTTGTCCTTTGAATTTATGTTTCCCACTGCAACACATTCAACACACGCATTCAGGTGTGACGGCATTCTTTACGGCATGTGCGTTGCCCTGTGACTTGTGCTCCGGCCCGCCTCATGTTTCAGTCACCACGATATTTGAGACATCGCGATACATGTACATTCTTAATGCACTACTCATGAAGTTGCTGAAAATCCGTCGACAGCCCACGACCGGTTTCGCCCTTCTTTGGGGCTCATCAGGTAGGCGCGCAGTCCCCGAGTTTCCGTCAATCTTATGTTCTACTTGAAACCAAATTACACGAAATCAGGGAAATACGCTCATTTGCACACTAATTTGGTTTTGCGAGAGACTCACTTGGAACCCAGCTGAATCTCTCGTTTGTGATGATTCCGGGGAATTCGCTTACCTGATAAGTCCCAAGAACAGCGAAACCGGTCGTGGGCTCCCGACAAATTTTCAGCAACCTCATGAGTAGTGCATTACTAATATACATGTTTATTAATCGTTTACTTGTATCCCTCTCATAATCTGACGGTCCCCATGGATCTTCACCGTCCTCGGCTTTCTGCATGTTCCGGAGGCCGCCACGTAAACTCAAAAGTGTCTTTTACAGCCCTCTAAATCATCATCATTCTCCATTACAGGGCGTTCATGTGGGGTCACATTTGGTCCAGCAAAAACTGTACGCGATCTTGTCAGACGGAGCATTGACCAGCCAATCCGGAAAATGATATGGGTCAAACAAACAGACTAGACTTGCCTTAGAAACGGACCCTTGATTCCCAATTTCCCATCAGTTGTTTGTCGCAGTTCTGTTTTCTGTGCCCAGTATCCCAATTACACATCGCCCCCACTGATCCTCGCCCTAACTTCGGGTCTGAGTGAGGTCAACCGGCACAACGAATCTTCGGCTCTATGGAACACATCAGACTACTCCGGATTATACGCATATACTACTGTATTTTTGCTGGAGTCTAACTCCTTGGTATACTACTTACTCGCCGTAGTTAAGAGTAAGTGAGGCAACGGAACAAACCCAACCTCAAATCCTTTTTGAGGGAAAAGGTGAGTGGTTCTTCCCAGTGGCAGGATGTGTTGCATTCGTCAGTTCAGATGATTCTCTGATCCTTCGGTTAGTTCAGCTAAATTCGTTGATATATTAGACGTGAAATCAGTGTGCTTGATTTTGGGAAGTCTGGAGTCATGTCATCTGCAAGTGTGTGCGATATTCAACTGCTATGGATGTGTTCGATAAAACTCATTGATTAAGGTACATTACTTTGGCTTAGGTCGCTTGTTCTCGGTCTTCGGTTGGACCTAGAGGCATTTCGTTCGACGGCTTGTGTACCGGGTGACCAGAGTTTCGTGTTTAGTGGATTTACGCATATCACTGATCAATATCATAAGCACGAAGAATATTGGTTGGACGTAGTAACGTGGTTGAAGACATACAACTAACAGTTTGTACGCAGTTGACTTTAAAATGGCAACCCCGTAGTGATTGGTCAAGACATTGACAAGGAGTCCTTTCGCTTGAACCATCTGCTTCTGGAGATATTTCCCTTGTATGGTCTTCCAGACGGCACGCACGCGGCTACCGAACTTCCGACCTTGGCACGTACACCATTCCCGAGCCTTCGACCTTGGCACGTACACCAATCCCGAACTCCCGACCTTGGCACGCACTGTGCGGTCACGTTTGGCTCGTAGTTGCTCTGAGCAGTACAGCTGCCTCCCCACACTCCTCCTTCCCTGGAATAAATATCACGCCATATATTGTCAGTTCATGACATCATTTAAGTGCATCGCCCATGCACCAAACTTTTGTCTAGAAGTGATCACATGTATTTTAAAGCAGAGTTTAACTGACCATGCGAGAAGTAACACAGGAATATCGCTACCGTGTCGTGTGGTAAACCAGAGCTGAACAAAAGCTCCACGGACGTGACCAATGGTAGAATAGAAGTCAGGTAGTCAAGCGGTATTAGGAACAAAATTTCCCAAGTGAAAATGAATCAAGAAGTTATCGCTAAATGTCTCGAACTTGGAGGGGTCTCCCGAGGTGACACAATACGAGTTACTTTGGATCGATATTCCACTGAGCTAGTACGAATTAACGATTACTAATCTTCGCTTGGTCCCTTGTGTTTTGTTGTCTTAATATTTCCCATGAAAGTATGCATTAATTTTAGCGATCGGTAGCGCGTGAGAGAATGGTAAAATCCTCTTTTGTACTATTTTCTGAGTTAGCTTTCGCGCACGATCAGCTAGGGACGGCATTTGGTGGGTCTCTTGATTCTGTGTAGAATACACCAGTATCTTCAAAGTCACTTTTTCTCTTAAAGAGCATAGACACCTCGTCAAATAAAGTACCTAAAAACCCGATGTGATTGTACCTTGGCTTGCGTCCTTTCTGTTTCCACAAGCAAAAGCTAACGCTCTACTTACATCAAGTTGATTCACCACTTACATGGAACTCTTTGAACACACCATAAGATACACAGCTTCTCCAAATGCTTCAACAATTCAGTCTGTTTATCAGTATATCGATCATTGCTGGAACACTAGCCGATATCTTCGACGTCTGCCACGCCTTTTCTGGAGGTTGACCAGCATTCTGCATCGCTTTTCGATTCAGGGTCTGCTTTTCTATTGATTTGAAGTACATAGACACACATCTCATCGGTTCCTGTCGAATCTCGTCTCCGGCAAACCGCCTATCCTCATGGTACTCCATCAAAAGCTTCCATGCTGTGCAGTGTGCGGTGAGTTTAACAACAATGAGATGACCAAATGAAGAGGACGTGGCAGTCATGCAGTCCCAGATTCATTGTACTTCCACTTACAGTGGACTTATGTGTCATCTCGAGTGGTGGTAAAACCAGGTGGCAACTAGGCTGTCCAACTCAGAGAACAACCCCCCCCCCAAACATAATCGCTCTTGTAATATACTACTCATAAGGCTGCTGAAAACTATTCGACACCCCACGACCGGTTTTACCTTTCTTGAGGCCCATCAGGTAGGCGCGCAGTCCCCAAGTTCCCGCCAAATTTATGTTCTACTTGAACCCAAAATGGACTGATTGTGATAAATACACTCATTTGCGAATCAATTTGGTTTTCATGGAAGACTCAAATGAATCTCTCGTTTATGACATTCTACAACTAAATGTGCTGCACCAAGCCGACTCATGTTTCAGTTGGCACGATATTCGAGAGGTCACAGTATCAATTCACAAAGGAAACTGTTCACAAGGTTGCTGAAAACTCTTCGACGGCCCACGACGGGTTTCACCCTTCTTGGGACTCAGCAGGTAGGCGCGTTGCCCGAGTTTCCGTCAGCATTAGGTTCTGCTTCAACGCGAATATCGTTCCCACGGAAACATGAGGCGGTCTGATGCAACACATTCAGTGGCCTGGAAACATCATAAACGAGAGATTCAGCATGAGTTCCAGGTGAGTTGCCCGCAAATAAAAATTTGTTTGCAACTGAGTGTATTTAGCTAGCTTTCTCTTATCCTGTTGTGATAGTTCTGGTCTACCCACATGCAACTTCCAATGAGGACAAAACGGGGGCCTTTTGCTTGTCTGTGGACAAGAGAGAAACGGTCGAAACGCGAACGGCGAGCCTAGACTCCCTCGCCCCGTTATTGGCGCGATTATTCTACACTAAAAGGGAAGCACCATGTTGGAGCGTTGCTGTTGAGGGATAACCGCACCTCTATCCGCGCCGACGAGGACCCCTGTGGATGATTAGCCGACATGAGAGGCGAGATGGCTCAAGTGGTTGGAGCGCGAATTTACTGACCGGAAGGCCCGTGGTTTTGGCCCAACCCCCGCCTCTCGACTTCCCCTGTCTAGGCGTGGGCAACCTGGCAGTATCTCAGCCCTCGTGCTTCCTTCGGGTGGCATGGCAGCTAGCCGCCGAAAGGGTGCTACAGCTGAGCAATTATTTATTATTTATTTTTATCATTACTCATATGAATTCCTGAGTTGCTGATACACTGAACCGATTGTTGTTGCAAACGGCCGCCTATCTTTTGTGTGCGCTCAACGCACTTGAAATTCGCATCAGGACTGTCCATCAAGGTTTCACTTTAGTTCCACTTTATCTGAACTCTGTTTGTTGTTATCCTCACATGTATCGACGTACACCTGCTGCCCCGCACACCTCAATGCCGGTCTCTTAAAATGAGGTGTGATACGACTGACGATCATGCGTCAAAAGGTCACGTGGTGGTCATGTGATCCTTGTGCGGTTCCTCTCTTTGTTTCGCCATATTACTATATCCACTTTTGTTCAGAGGCTGAGTCCATTCATTCTCCAGAGTGACGTTTTCCAGGGAGAGTGCCCCCATACAAAACCCCCCCATGCAAACCTTTTACTGTTGATGGAAAAACATTTCTGCTAGAAAAACGCAGTCTGTTTTCAGTCGAAGGTAAAAGGATCACTTCCAGCAAAGTCATTTGGCCCGACTGCAGTTTGTCGATCAGACAAATACATTCTGAGTCATCCTTTGGCCGAACAAACGAATGCTATGGCGCACGAGTAGCCTCGAAGTAAGGTGTAACTATCCTCGGCTTTGAGGTTTCTGATCCAACGCCTTCCCTTGTCTATTTGACGTCCTGTCTGCGGTCTTGATTCTCTATGGTGAGAAACTCTTCACGAGTTTCAATTCCGGAGCTAACCATTTTCGTTTGCTCGGAAGATCCAGAAAGACCAATTTCTCAGCACTCCTTGGTAAAGTTCCCGTTTCTGACGGAGAGGCGAGTGCACGCCGAATGGAGGATGAGCGGATCCGCGTCCTGTCTAGAAGCAACCCGAATGCACTTGTGATCGGCCGCTGCTGTCAACTTTTCAAACTGCTAGCCGGAAAGTCGTGCGTTCGAGACTTCCTACTGAGGTTACATGAAGTGCGCACTTGCGATGATTCCCTACACAGCCGCCCAAATTCTCCCTCGACGCGTTGTTTTCGACCACTTCCATGGATTTTCTCATCCAGGAATCAGAGCAACCAGGAAGTTGATTAGTGCACGCTTCGTATGGCACTTCATGAATAAGGACCTGACATCCTGGGCCAAACAGTGCATCGCCTGTCAACGCACTAAAGTAACTCGGCATACGAACTCACCTATTGGTTCATTTGCCGTTCCTGATGCTCGGTTCACACACGTCCATCTCGATATTGTTGGTCCTCTTTCCCCATCAAGCGGTTTCACTCATATCCTTACCATGATTGATCGTTTTACCCGTTGGCCAGTAGCTGTACCCATTTCGGATACTTCAGCTGAAACAGTTGCTTTTTCATTTTTGCAACACTGGGTTAGTAATTTTGGTATACCTTCCACCGTTACTACGGATCGCGGCTCACAATTTCAGTGTAATCTCTTCCGTGAGTTTTCTACACTATTCGGTTTCCATCACATATCGACTACCGCGTATCATCCCTGTTCCAACGGTCTGGTTGAGCGTTTCCATCGCTACCTCAAAGCTGCATTGACTGCCCAAATGAACCCATCTTCATGGTCCTCTTCTTTACCCCTCATTTTGCTTGCTATTCGCTCCACTATTAAGGAGGATCTTCACTGTTCCCCAGCCGAACTAGTATACGGTACAACTCTACGTCTACCCGGTGAACTAGTTTCCCCTTCTGGCGCACAGCCCGAATCGCCCGTTACATTCGTCTCCCGTCTGAAACAACGCATGTCTGAACTTCGTGCGACACCGACCAGACGATCAACGCGAACAGAACACATCTCAGCCGATCTCTCTTCTACATCTTTTGTGTTTGTCCGACATGACGCAACGAGGAAACCCCTCCAACCCTGTTATGATGGCCCCTTCAAGGTTATCGAACGTCACTTCAAATACTTTGTTTTAGAGAGAAGCGGAAAGCGTGATACCGTCTCCATTGATCGTCTGAAACCTGCCTACACTGAAGCACCCACGACCACATCCAGCAATCCTGCTATCCCAACAACACCCACACCTACCCAAGATATCCCACCCACCAACCTCACTCCTTCCACTAGTCGTTCCGGACGACGCGTCCGTTTCCCTTAGCACTTAGCTGATTACGAAACTTGAAGTGAGCAACTTTTTGATTCGTTACTTTATCCATTCGAACATTTTCCCCTTTAGCGGTCAACGCTCTAGTGGGGGAGTAGTGTGGTGTTTTGTACCTTTATTTTGCTTTCATTATAACACTACGTATTTCGTCAACTGCATAATCGTTTTCTGTTTGAATACGAAAAACTACAAAAACGCGCACTTGTACAAAAAATTCACGCAATACAAGCGTGGTTACGTGCTCCGACTCTCTCTTCTGATTTCGCTCGCGCTTGGAGAGGTCATTCGCGAGTCTCATTCGCTAACTCTGATATCAAAACATTTCAGACATTTTTGGAATCTATTATAAGTGGGAACTGTTCAGAAGAAGACCCCTAGACCACCATACTTGGATTATCGTTTATTCGCTGACCTGGGCCAACGACGAACTATTTTAAAGAGAACAATTGTTAGTGAGTCTGTTCCATCTGACCTCTTTATTATTGTATACCCAATCTAGCGTTATTATTTTTATTTCTTTGCCACACACTCCTGGTGAAGTAACTTATTGGGTAGCCAGAACACTACACACGAAAGATCCAAAAAGAATCAGTTTCTCGGCCCACTCTAGTAAAGTTCCCGTTTCTAGTGAGTCTACGCCGAATGGATGATGAGTGGATCCGTATCCTGTCTAGATGCGACCAGAGCACACTGCTGATCGACCGCTGCTGTCAACCTTTCAAACTGCTAGCCGGAACGTCGTGGGCTCGAAACTTCTTACTGAGGTTACGTGAAGTGCTCACCTGTGATGATTCCTCACGAAAAAAACACCTGCACAGACCCCAAAATTATCCCTCGAGAACCGTTTTGTATGACCAACTCATCGAGTGGCCCTTTCAAAGTGGGTACCCAGATTGCACCGCGATGAACGAAACCCCTCTACCTGATGGTCTGATTGAGACCTCACCACCTGTTATAACTGTTTAACCATTTCACTTTCTACGGAAGACTTACAAGTCGAAAATATCAAAGGTGATGACAGTGAGAATGAAAAAATACAGAGAAAAAAACAAAGAAAGAGGGATACACTCGTTAGAAAATCAATTTGGTTTTCACGACAGACCCAACTGGAAAACCAAATTGGTTTGCGAATGAGTGTATTTCTCGAAAACAGTCCAATTTAGGTTCAAGTGGAAGATAAGGTTGACGGAAACTCGGGGACTGCGCGCCTACCTGATGCGCCCCCAGAAGGGCAAAATCGCTTGTGGGCTGTTGAAGAGTTTTCAGAGACCTTGTGAGTAGTTTCCTTTATGAAAGAGGAAAATATGGTCAAACGGATTCATTTGTAATTAATGTTGCTGTTGACTCAACTGGAACCCAGCTGAGTCTCCCTCGTTTGTGATGTTTCCAGGCAACTGCTGAATGTGCTGCACCAGGCCGCCTCATGTTTCAGTTGCTACGGTATTCTAGACATCGCGAGACATGTACATTCCTAATGCACTACTCATAAGGTTGCTGAAAATCCGTCGACAGCCCACGACCAGTTTCGCTCTTCTTGGGGTTCATCAGGTAGGTGAAGACCCCGAGTTCCCGTCAACCTTATGTTCCACTTGAAACCAAGTTGCACGAAACTAGCGAGTATACACTCATTTGCAAACTAATTTGGACCGAAACATGGGGCGGCCTGAGAACATCACAAGCGTGAGATTCAGCTGGGTTCCAGGTGAGTCTTTCGAACAACCAAATTAGTTTGCAAATGAGTGTAT